TGAGCTTCCTATTAACAGACGAGGCAATTAAGGCATAGTCTAGAATAAATAAAAATAAACGGTATAAACGAACGTGCGAGAAATTTGACACTATTTTCATTGAAAAGATCTATTTGATAAACCCCTGTATACAAATTTTCAGATTTCAATTTTGACTACTTTTTGAGATGATCTTACTGGGCCCTCTTCGTGATACATCCTGTATGTATTGACTTAAAATAAACTGTTTTTATTTACAATATTGATATATACTCAGTTAACATCATACGATGTCGAAGTTTTTTACATACTTGTAGGTACCTACCCGACTGAGAGATTTTTACAAAAATTAGCAGTAAAATGGAAATACTAAAATTACCGCCTTCTTTATGCCTTGTACTTACAATTTTCAATTAACTAATAAAAGTATTTCTTCCAGATGACCGCCCAAAACAAAATAGAAATTTATTTTTCGTTTCCTTAAAATTTTTTCCGTGAATTAATTTTAATGTAATCAATAGAAGAAAGATTTATAGTTCCGTTTCCCATGTAATTGGTAATAAAATTAGTTTGCTGTAAAATTGCAGTTTTTATGAGTTGGAAAATCGCTTAATTAGAAAGTTTGTAGTAGTGTAACGCTATATTCAACAGCTTATAAAAAATTAAACTAGATTAATGAACCTGTAAATCCGGGAAAGTTGTATGAGAAAATTAAATTACTCTGGTGTTGATACAAGTCTTGACATAATACTTTTTGTATATGAAAATCAACTTTAGTCTAGCATATAATTACAGTGCTAAAAACTAATAAATTTAAAAGGTAAAAATTTTGTATTGCTACATTTGTTAATATAGGCATTCCAAATTAATCATTAATTCCAAGTTTATTTTTAATATATTTTGCCTTTCATATTTTTTTCTGGTTAAAAGGTCAAACGTACAAGCAGTATTAAATAATGTAAATTATAAGTTATAATTTTATTTTTTTGTAAAAACTATTTCGATTCAAATGTCGACTCAAATTGAAAATTAAAGTTAAAATTATTTCTTAATCGTTGACTAATTGACTAATTATTTCAATTTAATTTTTTTTCTAATTAAACGTATTAAAATCATCACCACGTTTTTTTTATATGTACGGTCACGCGAAAATTGCCTCCGCCCTTTTTCTGTTATCGTTGGAAAAGTTAAGTGTAAAAGTTAAAAGAATTTAAAAAATTTCTTTCACACATATACAGATTTTTACATCATGGAAGAGATCGGCTTTTCAAAAATAGATTTATCTTTAAGGGATTTGGAGATATTACGTATTTCAGTATATTTTTACCTAACAGCCTTAGAAGAATAATGACAATTAAAAAAATTATGTTAATCTGTCAATTGGTAATAAATGCAATAAAATGTTTGCAGAAGCAGAAATGTATAGGGTATATAGCATACCTAATGACAATTTACTTAAAATATATAAAAATTCCATCTGAAATAATTCTGTTTTTATTTAATTCGTAATGCACAAAATTCAAAAATTAAAATACCTATTTTTTTGTACATACTATATTCCCATAGAAGTTTTTCCTCAAAATACATACTTTTAGAACATTAATACCAAATGGGAGGCAACAAAATATTTAAAAAATTAAACACAAGTACCTAACAGTATTAAACTTCGTTTGTTAAAAATTGCGGTTTTAATTAAAAACACTTAGTTTCCAAGTAGATCTAACCCTTTATCAAAACTGAAATTATCTCTTGGCCAAAATTTTCTGCCTCTCTCTCACGTGTCTCGTATCTGCAGTATGTTGCAACTGCAGATTTTTCTATGTTGCTATATTTCAAGTGACACTTTTCCTTTAACCCATTAATACTGCGCTTCCACATACTCTTATCAATACATCCCTGTATGGAGAATAAATAGTTCTATCCTAGACGTTACCCATTTTCCTTGTTCATGTAGAACCCTTAAAGTATATCAGAAAGATATCCTTGTAATGGCTCAATATCCGTTTCCTCTGAGCCCAGATGATAGGTTCCATTTTGGAGCTATTTTAAAAAGTGTACTATAGGCGTCGCAATTTTATCATTAAGAGTTTTCACATTTCCTATCTCTTGTTTCAATTTAGAACTATATTTTAGAAACATTCCGTATAGTGGAGCAAGGAAAAGGAAATTAAATGCACTAGAAATCTATTTGCATAATTTGAGGGTGACCCATCAACTAGAACATATTATTGAATTGTCTAGTCTTAAAATACGTTCTTGTGTGCATTTTTATTAATATACATTAGATACAATCATTAAAAATATACATAATAGGTACATACTGGATGAAATGAGCCTATAACTCAGTAGTGAGTTATAAGTCATAAGTCACTAGTGAGTTATGAAATCCTTGGTTACAGACACAATTATTTAGGTTAACACTCGCATCCTTTGTAATACAGTGCTTTCGAAAAGTAACGAATAAATTAATTATTTTTTAAATTGCGAAGTTTTCGAAAAAATCCCCTGGTACGTCGATTTTGTTTTTAAAAAAGGCACTTTTTGACATACGACCCATATTTGTGACGTCATCGTTGTTCGAGATATGACGTCATCGACAATTTTTTTAAATAGCAACCCCCAATTTTGACCATGCCATTTGAAAGAGCGTGTCATTCTACATACGCTTCGTCAAAAATCATGGTTGCCTGACAGTAGCCTTAGCGACCGAGAATGTTTTTTATTGCTGTCAGATAAAAACTTGAAATCGTACTTTATTAAATAGTTTTTTT